CGCTGAATTCGCATATCTCCTTTTGAAAGAAGAATGTAGTCTAGATGTACCCTAAGTGAAAAGGAAATATAGGTTCCCAATTCTAGGAAGAAAGTTTAATATCCCCAACTTTGCAGACAGACCCAATTTCAGCATGGGATACTGGGATGGCTTCCCTGAGTGCCAACATTAAGGGGTGTCAAGTAGGGGTGCTAGATATCATGTAATTGAATAGTCATGAAACCGCATGAAAACGTAGTGGTTACATGACTATTTGATAGCTCCTGGAAGCAGGGCCAGCAGCCAGTGTGCTCCCAGCCTCAGTCAAGTATAGCTGGAGATAGCACTGGTAGCACCTTTTAAGCTGGCTCCCCCAGCAATGGCTGTTGCCTGCCCACGCCCTGCTACCTCTGTAGGAGGCAGCAAGAGAAAGGGGGCAGGAAGGTCACAGAAGCTGATATGCTCAGGGAGCCGGCTTGAAAGCCAGCTCCCTGAGCATATTGGCTCCAGCCTACCCACTCCCACTCTCCACAGTGCTGCCTCTCTATCAGCGTGGGGGGAGGCAGGCTGATCTGGTGCTTGTGGGGGGAGGCAGATGGATCTGGTGCAGGTGGATCTGGAGGCAGGTGGATCTGGTGCTGATACAGAGGCAGGCAAGGCGGGGAGGAGGAAATGTGTGTAGTCGACAAGATCAACCAATAAGCTCAGGCTTATCGGCAAATCAAGTAGTCATCTACATGATGTCATCCCTGGTGTTAAGTTAAAACATTTGCGGGCACGAAAAATATTTTGTGTCCTGGACAACAAAACACATAGGGCCCATCACGTTCAAAGACCTACAGTTTAGCTTTACTTACACTAGTATCTCCATTTGCTCAATGGGTCTACTGCTGTGAGTAAATACATATATCCACCCGACTCATTTTTTTGTTTGCATTATCACAATCTTAGGAAGACCATATTTTATTATGTACAATTGTTTATTACATACAAAAAGAAAAAGGTTAGGAGATGTGTGTTTATATCTATATGGATTTATTTAGACTCCAATCATGCAAACAAGTAGATGAGGGATGAGTATGGTGCTCAGACTATAAGGGTATGTCTACAGTGCAACTGGCAAGGTGCTTCCCAGTGCAAGTACACAGACACATACTATCCCTACTTGAGCAAGTGTGCTAGAAATAACTGTAGCATGGGTAGCAGTTTGGCTCCATTTAGAAACTGGATCATGCTTCTTCTTGATAGACTACTGTGCTCAGTTCTGGTGTTCAGATCTCTGAAAGGTTAGAAGATTGGAATGGGTTCAGAAAAAAACTACAGAAATGATGCTTCAGGTATATTTTTCACACCTTGCAAGAGTAAAGCAGTTTGATCTATTAACATTGTTTTAAATATGCTAAGAAGTATCTATAAGTGCCTACATGCAAAGAAAATTTGTGATAGTAGAGAGCTTTCTAATCTAACAGACAAAGGCATAATGACACCCTGTTGGCTAAACACATCTACACATCTTAATTTATCCATCTTCTGTCCTTTCCTTTTCTCAATTTGAACTACACTTCAGGAAAATGTGGTGTAGAATTTCATAGCATGATACTTTCTCTCCATTCATAAGTGCTTTGATGGGTAATGTTCATATCTATAGTCATTAGCATCTGATTTAATGTCTATTGAAATGAATGGTGCAGTTCACATTTCAGAACCATTGTTTCAGGCTGCCAGCAGATTCCAGATGATGTCTTTGCCTTGATGACACTTGGATTATGTTCTGAAGGTTTTCATCATGTGAATATTTTTAAAAAAATGAAAGCTGAGACTCTGGAGAATAACCATGATGTCCATCTGTACTCCCAAGGCTAATTTTATATTATATGACCTTTCCCCACACTTTGGGAAACACCGCTCTAAATATTTTCAGTCTTAAAACATTGAGACTATGCTGACCTTGGAAGTGTTCTGATTCAGGGGTCTGAGAACCAGTACTGCTAGATTCTTCCAACTCTTGTCTTTGATGGTGCACTATACCATCCAAATCCGAGTAATCTTCATTGAAATCCTAAAGGGAGAAAGTAATGAAAGAGATCAGGCAAGTCCTAAGATTATGAAGATTAGTTGTTTTTATTTCATTACTTTTTGGGTTATCTGCACCTTAAATCTGTACCAACATCAGCAGAAAATTTAAAGGAGTCATTCTACTGATAAAGAATTTGGTATAGCCATAGCATGAACTATTTGGTCATTTACTGCAGCATGTGTCAGCTACTGAAGAGCAGCAGCTTTTTTTCAGATCAATGAACTGACCTGGCATTTAGGGGAAAGATTGCAAGCACTAACTTTGAGAAGTCTGTTATTCTGCCTTCAATGGCAAGGGTAGTCACTTGATGCAACTCTAAATTAGTACAGAGCATAGAGAAAGACTAGCTGCTGGAAACACAGGTATGTGGAAAGGAAGAAAAATGCAAGTCAGTGCACAGCCCACATACAGACAGGGGACACACGTGCGAGGACACCAGGACTCACAGGGCCCCCAGAGGCCATGGGTGAGAGGGGCTGGTGGTGGCAGGAAAGTGGAGCAAAGTGGCCTCAGTTTGCTCTGCTCCACTGTCAGTGAATTTGGGGAGTGGCCAGACCCCTCCCGCTGGCACCAGACCCACACTCCACTAGTCCTCTGGGCTGCCTTGGTTTTGGGACAGAGCAAGGGGGCGGAGCAGAGGCAGGGAGGGTCAGGGCCTGGAGCAGAAGGCGGTTGTCCCAGGGAGCAGAGCGGAAAGGGGGGGGGGGGGCGGGTGCACATGACCAGTGGCCCCTCCAGATCCTCCCTCACCAGTCATCTCTACATATACACCTTAATAACTGGCATTTTTATATACTCAGAGCACACAGACATCACATCCATTTGTGCATTATTCTTGTGGAGAGAAGACTGTTTCTATGTTGGTATTACCAATGGCTATCTTGCTGGTCATTCAGAGATTTCTGAGGTGACAGAATATGTATGTGACAGGCTTTCCTTCAGTTTGAAACACTAGAAGAGTTTGGACAATATGGAATTCAATTAATGGAACTTTATGAAAAACAGGATGAATCATCTTACCAAAGTCAGGGTCATAGGGCGATCGGCCCTGAAGCTGTTTTCAGCAGAAGAAGGATTGGTACTGTTGTCAACACTTTTATCCTGAAAGCCAACATTTTAAAAATTATTAATTGCTAATCTTGAAAATAAAAAGCAGTCATAAAGACCATAACTGAGCTGCAGAACTTCACTCTGTCAATACTTACCTCTAAGTGACTACAGACAGATTTTAATAGCTTATAGGTTGTGTCTCTGGAGAGCAAGGAGACAAATATGTACTGAAAGGCAAAAATAATAATTTACATAATTTTCGTTTGAAAAGACATTTTGCACAAGCATCATCTTATTAATTGCTGGTTAAGCAATTGCTTTCTAAGGCCTGCAGATAATAAAAGACAGGCCTACAAGATAGGAAGTAAGAACACAGTTTAAGAGTTTTGCAAAGAAATGAGGACAAGGCCTATATTAAGGACTATATATTTCCCCATCCCACTCATGTATGTGTGGGTATATTAAGGACTATATATTTCCCCATCCCACTCACGTATGTGTGGGGAAAAAAAAAAAATCAACCTTACTTCCCTCACTTCCTTGGTCAAATTATACTGAAAATCTGGCCCCTTTCTTTGCATGGATATTATAGGAGTTCACAGGGATTTTCCCCCCACATACAACAAACAGGAAGAAATAATCCTGAATGCCCATATAGGCTGCTATTATGTTGTAATGGAACTACATTAGGTTATTACTGGCTGCAGAGCCAGAGGTGCTGTAGGAGGTGAGGTGGCTGATTCACTAGATGTCACTTTTTCTTTTAATCCCTGCTGCCAGTGGACAGGCCTTTCTACAGCTGTATAAAGGTTCCCCCCCATATAGGTTCACTTCCTTAGCTGTTTTAGCTCTAGCCTGGATTGCCATGTAGTAGGACCATAGAGAGCTACTGGCACCCTGCTTCTCTACGTCCCCCTCTTCTTCCACTACCCTGCAGCATTGCATCTTCTGTGGGTCCCAGGGGAAAATGGTACTCTGGAAGGCTGAGTACCACAGGACAGGCAAGAAGTCCTATTAGAAGGGTGCTTCAGGCTGCAGAGTTGGTCAAATCCTTCTGGGTTTGATTTTGAGAGACTCAAAAATGGTCACATGGGACCGGTCTGTGCCTTCATAGCTGACCAGCCATTTGGCAGCTGCTCCCTCAAGATTCCATTACAACAAATACTACGCATAAATAAAGCAAGAGAGGTCAAAAACCATCCCACACTTACCCGGTCAGTGAGTGTTGCTATGACCAAGGCATTTGGCACCAGAAGGGCAGTTTTGGTTTTCTTTATTATTGTTACCGAGAGCGCAGGTATACTAATCTGAAATGAAATCATCACATTCTTAGCACGCCAAAATAACAGAATACTTAAGTCACCTTATTGGGTATATACAAGCAGCAGTTCATGTGAAAACCAAGCCACTAGCATAGCTCAAGAATGTTGAAACAGTAGCTTATCTGAGGACTTCTTTTCCAAGGCCCTGTTTTGATTGTTACCAGGCCTGCTGATGTGATACCAGAGGAGGCTAGAGGAGGCGGCACAGGAGGCAGTTGCCTAAGGCCCAGAAATTTAAAGGGAACTGGCTGGTGGGCCCAGAGCACTCTGGGTGGCTCTGAGGACTGTGGGGGTAGGGCCCCTTGCTCCGGGTAGTGCGGAAAGCTGGCTGCCCTGGCCTTGCCCCTTCCAGGAGTGCAGAGCTGTTCCTCCCCTTGCTCAGGGACCTGTGGAATCTATCGCCAAAGATGTGGGCTGACGTAAGGAACTCTATTTTTTGCTTCCACTTAAGTGTAAATGTTAATTCATCAGCTATGTTTTATTCAAAAACCTGTGTAGTATGAAAGAAATAAAAGCAACCTCCCCTCTTTTCTGGGGTCTACAGTTTTCAGAAGAGATATGAATTTATTCTAAGTTTGTAGAATATCTGTTCAGGAAATAGCATAAAACGTAAGAATGGCCATACTGGGTTAGACCAAAGGTCCATTTAGCATAGTATCCCCTGTCTTCTGACAGTGGCCAATGCCAGATGCCCAAGAAGAAGTGAACAGAAACAGGTAATCATTAGGTGATCCCTCTCCCATCATCCATTTCCATCCCCTGACAAACACAGACTAGGGACACCATTCCTACACATTCTGGCTAATAAGTATGGATGGATCTAACCTCCGTGAAGCTAGGCACTACAGCAGACTCTACTTTAGAAAAAGAAACATTCCAGAACATAGATTACACAGCGCAAAGAAACATATTTCAATATAGAGCCTAGTTTGTGGCAAGCAGATGAGTAAACACTTCAGATCTTTCAGCATAACTAAAAGGGTTTAGGCCACCCATGCTAAATATAAACACATCTCCAGGCATGCTGTCCAGCCTTTTTGCAAATACACCTGCAAACTATGCTTTATATAAATCAGTACTTTCATTACTTTTCCTTCCTGTCTTGTAGCTCCATATAGCTTCATTAGTGAAAGCATATGCTTGATCACAAAGTTTGCTTTCTAATGAGGACTTCTCTTAAGTTTCAGGGTGTTTTAGTCTAGAAGTTTGCTATGGGGCCCACTTTGAAACCCCATATTACTAGAGAGTGTGTGAAGAGCAGGCTCTGTTTCCAATGAAAGGCTGGCTGGCAGCAATATGTGCAGATGCGATGCTTCATGCTAGACAGATGATGGAATGGTCATCACCCTGTTAGCATTAGAAATGTGAAATCCAGTGTAACTGGTTAACCTACTAACGGAGGGGACGGTCCCCTGTGACAGGCCAGAGCGCCCTGCAGACCGGGGCTGTTCAGCCCACCACAGACAGATGCTGCTTTGACCATGATGCTGGAATAGCCCCTGCCTGCAGTGGACCTCCTGCGGGGCTGGAGCAGCTTCCTGGCCCTGGCAGGCTGGGGACTGCTCCAGCCCTAACCGGTTAACCTTAACTGGTAAGCCTTACCTTAACGGTTAACCAGTTCAACTTTCACAGCCCTTGTTGGAATTCCAGTTATTTACACTTCTGATTCATACAGAGTCCAGAGAGATGTGGGAGATTAGGATAAAGGGAAACCTGTCTAAAATTAGTATTCATAATACTAAATTGAAAGCATGTAATATTGCAGACTAATTATAATAGGTTGAAATAAATCATTCCATAAATAAAGTTTCAAATCACCTTTTAGTTGTTGGTTTCTATTTATGAAGGGTCTTTACAGAAAGCAGCACTGAAACATGAAATGGAGTCTCATTGCGTTTTGGCTAACACCCCCCCATCATCACAGATGATTTTGTTTAGCCAAGGTATGGCATTTTGTTATTCAACTATTTTAGGAATGGCTAATGAAATGAATACTCTACCCTCATAAAGCTAGAGAAGGGATCAGGGCCACTTTGATCAAAAGCCATTGGTGGTAAGTTTCTTGATAAAGAGAGAAGTTTGAATCAAAGCTTTAAGTTCAATCTCTCTCTCCCCTCTTCTCCCTCCCCTGCCAGGTTTTGGAAGGCTGGGATCCAAAGTTTGCAATACTGGCCCACCTCCAGTTCTCAGTTTGTTTATTTTGTATGTTTGAACTTCTCTTTGGCTGGCTTACTATGCTGTTTTCACTATGCTGTTTTCACATGTAATGTATCTCACCCACTTTAAATCACTACTGAGAATAGTTTGCCTTCCTCATCCTACTTTCTATACCTTTACCGCTGGAACAATTTGTATTGTGGGGTGCTGAGAGCCATTGAACCAAACTGTAAACCTGGAAACAACTTAATGCCAAGGGGTTTAAAAACTCCCTCAGCACTCCTAGTTCTAGCACCTATGCCTTTCCCCCTTGTTTATATCATATGTTGTATAGTTAGATAGTAGAGATTTATGAACAGGGGTTTGTTTGTAATATTTTTCTGTAAAATGACTGTCAGCACTTTTCAAATTAATGTATTTAAATAGATCAATTAAAATATTCTGCAAACTTAATAAAATACAGTCATCTCCTGCATTAAAGTTTAATGTTATTTCTGCTGCATACTATTTTGGTGGCCAATATTAGATTATTTTATGAAATACCCATTTCCTACGCAATTACACCAGCAACTGTTTAACAGGGAGACTCACTGGAAGACCATTCCCCTTCTATCTAGCTGTGCTATCCATTTGCAATACTCACTGTCCAGACTAGGATTGAAACTATGGGTAATTTTGGGGGAAAAAAACCCCTACAAGTGGAGAGCTACATAGTATAACCCAATCTAATGATTCAGAACTGTGATTCACTCTTGGGAAAATTTATGATTGCTGCCCAACCAGAAGAGGGCCTGCCCCCACAACCAAGATGTGGCTATCAGGAGAGCCACCAGGAGCAGATTTGCTAAGTCTTTTGAGGTTTATCCAGCATTGGTATAAAAATCTCTTCCTTATTAAACAAGTAGGGCTTTGGGATCTGGACTTCCAACACTCTTGTCATCTGAGAAGTGGGTTGTACACACGAAAGCTTGTGATACCATCTACATGTTTTGTTAGTCTTTAAGGTGCTACTAGACTATTAGTGTTTTTTTAAGTAGGGCTTTGCAATTCAGCACAAATCAGTCATACCAGAACTCGCCATCTGTGCTTCATACTCTGAATAACTGTTTAGTTGAAATAGCTACTTTTCTCAGGGCTTAAAACAGTACGACGTTATAGATACAGAGAGTTTAGAGACAGAAAAGATCCATTAGACTGTGTAGTCCAGCTCTTTGTCATAAGAAACCATTTCTTATTGAAAAAACATTCCTGTTTTCATTCAGTCTTGTTCCTAACAATGGAACATCTATGATCTATTACATTATCCTTAATTATATTATTTTGCCTTTTGTTTGTGGCACCCAAGAAATGTTTGTAGGCTTATCATGCACCCATACAGGTTCATCAGTTGCTTCTTGGCAAGACTACGAACATTTAAGTTTTTTTCTTATAAGTCAGTCCTTCCGGATTCCTAATCACCAATACTCTTCTCTGAAGTCTTTCAGTTTCTCAAATCTTTCCAATAATCTAGTTGCAGTTGCATCACAGTCATTACCGAAAGACTGAATTGACCCTTTGAACTATGATGTAATGCTTCTGTGTATTACATATGTAGTCCCGAAATCATACTGACGTATTTTGAAATCTGAACACATTCCTAAATGTCTAACTTCTAAGTTTGTTTCTGCATTACTGACCTCCCAGGTTTGTCCTTCCCATTGAGCATGTGAACATTGGATTATATTTCCTCCTGTATGTTAGCGTGCAAATTTCAAAGCTGAACTTCAGATTGGGTCAAAATCTGCCACTGTTATCTGTGCTGAATGTTAAGTTACTCTACAAGCAGTTTCATTAATTTCAATGGATCTATTTGGCCAAGGAAGGTTCTACTCAATGAGCAAGGGTGCCAGAATGTGACCCTTTTGTTAATTTCAACTTCCTTATTTATTCTACATGGCTGTTAAGCACATTTCCCCATTCATGTCAAATAATTTACTATGACTAATGCAATCTGTTAATTCACAACAAAGAATAACTCAGTTACTTCAGCCCTGTAATAGAACATCTCGCAAATGCAATAAGCAGTGGACAATTTATCATTAATCGTTCTTTAAATTTATTTAATATTCTTAAAAAAAATTCTCCAAATATTGGAGGTGTTCTATTAAGCCAGGCCTTTGATCAGATTTCCTTTCTGGGCTGCTAACATTTTAATCTGTTTTTCTAAGTCAGTAGATATGGCCTTGGCACCCTAGTAATTATATAAGGAAAGGATGTGCGTATAAACCTGACTCTCATTCAAGAAAATGTACAAATATTTTACACATACAGGCACAGTGTCCCCACTAAAAAGAACAACCCCCCAAAACTCAGATACACAGATTCATATCAGTGGGATCCCAAGAACTAGAAGTCAGGTCATAATGCATTGTCTGTATTTACAGTGTGGCCCAAGAGGGATGTGGAGCCATCACAACATGGTACAACAACAAGCAGCAGCTAGACTAACTTCAGATTTAATGAAAGCAGTTAGTATAGGTGGCAGGTGAGTCAGTATTTCTACAGCTCACTGCCTTCCCAGCAGACCCTCAGGCAAGAATCCAGAGCACTGGATCCCTCCACATGAGGAGTAATAGCAGTGGTAGGGAGAATCTGTTTCTCCCACCTTCCAATAGCTCCTCAGCTCCCAAACCACACTCTCCCTGTCAACTCAGCTTCTCATCTTTTTCTCCTCCTTCCCTTTCTATTGCTCTCCTCTCTTCTACTTCTACCCCGAGTGTCCCTCCAGCCCCTCTAGATTTTGTAACACAAGTAAAATGTATACACAAACATTTAAAAAAAAAATCAGATATGAAACTAACATGATGTGGGCTTGTTACTACCCTGGTCACTGTATATTGTATGCTTTCTTTACCCCCTCCCCCCCCACTTTGTCTTTGTGAGAATTTCTACAACTCACCAAGATGCCAGAGAATTACACGGCTGTTTGCACTCAGAGATGCTACTAACCTTGGTGTCTTTACCAAAGACCTTGGAATGGAAACAAATCCAGTTTTCAGATATAAATAATTTTCCTTGGTACAGAATTTCTTTCTGCAGAGCGCAGGTAAAACCTATAAACACAGACATATTACATTATTCAGCACCTGCAGCTAAGATTTAGGGTTGCCAGTTTTGGTTGGACATATTCCTGGAGGTGTCATCACAGAATATAATCTTTTTTAATGAAAGATTATTTAATTCCTGGATACCCCAAAATAATTCTGGAGGGTTGGCAACACTAAGCTGAGCATAGGTTATTTAACCCTCCCCCAAAACCCATGTGCTATTCATAAAAATAAATACATTTATTGTGTGCACTTTAAAGGGTTAGCTATGCATAGAAAGTCTTTAGAGCTCCAATCTGAATAGGTTTGAACTCTGATAAACCTTCCAGTATTAAAAATGAATCGTAAATGGGGATGAGCCCAAAGAGTTAAGAATTCTTCAGAAAGTTCTGAACATTCTGAACTTAAGTGTTGAAGAGTATAGTAAGATCTACAACATGAAAAAGCTCCCAAGGATACCTTACACAGTGACTTCCTACTTCCTTCCTATAAACACATCTTCCTTCCTATAAACATATTTTCTTCACTTACAGGTTACTACATACTGAAAACAAGAAGAGTTCTTAGGTGTGTTAGCCAGTTCTCTGTTTAAAGCCATTAAATACAATACAAATCCTGAAGGTTAGTCCAAAACCAGATTGAGAGATGCACATTTAAATAGGATTTTCTCTGTTATAGCTACGGAACAATCCCGCCTCACTCATTTGTGTAGTGTATGCTGGTCACACGCTAAGTTGCTATTCCTTCTTCTAAAGTATTGTGCCACTCTGTATATCTTTTGTGCTCTTCTTGTATATTTTGAACTGTTAACGGTTTTATATATTGTTTTAACACTGCTTGCTCTTCTTGTATATTTTGAACTGTTAATGTTTTTATATATTGTTTTAACAATCCTCATCTGCTACTTCTCTTACCAACACCTGAAATTTAAAAGGATTCAGCTTGATCACTGTGTATTTCCAGGTAAGAAGACACAAAAAGTTTGCCAGAATTTTAAAAGTTTTACTAACTTGAATGTCTTCCAAATAAACTAGCAATTTGGTCAGTTCTCTATACCTCTATTACAGGTTTGGGTTAGTATTAATCAATAGTAACCAAGTAGAAAGTGTAAATCTTAGTTATTTCTATTTGGAACTGTGGAATAGCCAGAACACAGATTACGAGTCACAAAAATCTCCTGACAACTGTAAACAAAGGAATGATTGTTTAATTCTGCAAGATTTCCTCTGGAACTAAGTAGATGGAGGAACAGGTCTTAAGTATAAATTCATGCAGCTAAAAGACTATTATTATTATTGTATGTAAGAGAGATGTTTGTTTACAATAGTGGATTTTGAATAAAACAGCTTCTGTCATGGATTCACTTTTCATTCTGGGACAGATAAAACAATGATGTGGTACTTACTTTGCTTCAGTGGCTCTGCAGTTGGGACATCCAGAAATAGCTTGTGATAGTGAGCATTTGCCTTTAACTAAATTAAAACAAACAAATCAAACACAGCACACATTTTGGCTACTCCTTCATTAAAATATATTTCCTTCCCTTACTTTAGCATCCTCTGTGTGCTCACATTGTATGGTGATTAGTGCTAACGAAATGCAGATAAAGGAGTATTACACACTTTTTCCTTAAAAATGCAACAGTTCTGGAAGTTAAAAATTGCCTCATAGACAGTGTTCTCTGTAAGCTGCGCACCTGGGGGTGGCCCCCCAGGAGTGAATCAGGTGCTGCTCAGCTAATTGGCATAGTGCCCACAGATGGCAGTGTGTGTTTCTATTGGTTATGAGCATCTGCACATGCCTCTATGCTCATAACAAAATATATTCCACCCATGGATGGAAAAAATTTGAGGGAACATTATTTATAGCTCTTCTTTTAAATGCCCTTAGAGAAGAGAGCTTAGTATTTTGTTTGTCCAACCTTTATGCAACAGAAAGTAGCAGTATTGAGAGAGGTACAGCCAAACTGAGATTTTCACTTAGTCCTCCAGCTCTGCAGGCTGGACAATGCACTCGATAACAAGTAGGCATTATTTGTAACTCTGTAGTTGGAGTTCGATTTTCTTCTATAGCTGTACCATCTAATTACAGGTAACCCGGGGACTGCCTGTAATTACAGGGGTTCTCAAACTCCCAGCCTGTGGGCCATCCCCATCCCTGTTCCAAGCCTGGCCCCTTCCCACCACTGATCCACATTCTCTCCCCCATGGCACCCCATTCCCCAAGAACATGGCTTCTGGGATCATCAGGATCACCATGGTGGCATGAGGTTTGGGGAAGCAGAATACACTCAGCAGGCATACTCACTCTGCTGTTGCCGTGGGAAGTATGGGCAGGGGGGAGGGGGAACGCTGTTGCCACCCCTGCCTCAGGTCCCCCCCCATCAGGGCATGGAATGCCATTGAGGGAGAGGGCGAAGCAATAGCAGGAAGGGGTGGGGATGGGACTCCAGGATTGAACTGCACAGCTGCTTTGGCTGGGGCTGGCCTGTGGGCTGGGAGTTTGAAACCTCTGATCTAATGTGATCTCAAGAAATTCTGCAGAGCAGAAGGAACAGTAACACTATTCAACTCTGGGGGCCAAAAGCACCCAAACTCCAGCTTAAAAAGAGGACAGCAAACAAAAAGCTCAATGAACATTTTAAAGTGAGAAATAGACACTCTAGAGGTTGCCTCGTGAGGGTATCTTCACCAGTAGGCTGATGTGATATATTTAGAACATTACACAGGGTCAAGGAAGAGAGAATGTCCCATGGGTGAACTTTCCCAAAAGAATGTTCCTTTTTCTCAAATCTGTCTGTACTTAGTAGTATGGGTTCACTTTTGCACTTAGCATGTTTTACGCAGTCTTAAAAGCGCTGGGCAAGAAACCAGTGGCAGTGCACAACCATGCTGTTATTGGGCCAGGTAATGGTTTAGTAAAGTCATTTACTCTAACCAAACCCACACGTGTTATGTCTGCATTACCTGATTTGAGCCATGTTTTTTCCTTTCAATCTTGGCATCAGTCTTGACATCTGTTGTCAGGAGGGGACTGTCCACACTCATCTTTGTCCTGAGCATAAGAAAACATTACTAATTTCATGCTTAGTGTCATTTCACTAGTTTTGTTATCATCAGGATGTATACTTCTGTCTATGACCCACATTCATCCTTTATTAACTTTCATTCTTGTTCTTCTGTCTCTTGAGGACAGCAAAACAGATAAGGACAGTTAACATCAGTTTCAGAACATGCCAGGTCTCATAACTCAGTGAAAAACATTTTAACATTAGAGGGAATGTTCATTTGTTGTTTGGAATAAATTAACTCCTGCTAGTTTCTTTTGTATACTTTGGTTCACGTAGGCAAAGCCTTATAGGTTTTTCTTTTGGATAGAAGAACATAAGGATGGCCATGCTGAGTCAGAACAGAGGTCTGTCTAGCTCAGTATTTTGTCTAACTGCAGCCACTGCAGATGTTTCAAAGAGAATCAAGAGAATAGGGCATTTATCACATGTCTATTCCCAGCATATGAGAGTCAGAGCCTTAGGGATACCCAGAGCAAGAGACTGTATCCATGATCATCTTGACTAATAGCCACTGATGGACCTAGCCTGTATGAATTTATTTAATTCTTCTTTTAACCCAGTTATAGTTATGGCCTTCATGATGTGCTTTGGCAGTTAGTTCCACACAATGCACAGTCCTTGTATTTGTTTTTCTTCATGATGTGCTTTGGCAGTTAGTTCCACACAATGCACAGTCTTTGTATTTGTTTTTAACCTGCTGCCTATTCATTTCATTTGGTGAGCCCTAGTTCTTGTTTTATGTGAAGTCATTGTATGTGTCATTTGACATTTTCTACTGGGTTTAAATCTTGAATGATATTTAAAGCCTTGAAAATCTGCAAATATCTGCTTTGTATCCATGGGTATCCACATCCATTAATGTGGATGAAGATATATATGGCTAATTTTTGCAGGTATGGATAAGGATACCAATTTTGTATCTAGAACCCTGCAAATCTGCAGATATCCATGCAGGAGTCTAATGATATTCTTTCTATTAACCCTACACAAAACACTATACAGGGACTTATCCAGTAATTTTTTCCTGGGACAGAGATGCCTAACCAGAAACCTTCAGTCTACAGTGGATATTCTTGAACTTCCTCAAGAGTTTTACATGAAGAAGCAGGGAAAACGCAATATGTGCAAGACTACTCAAAAGGCTCATGTGTCTTTGCCTTGTAAGCAAATCTGTGATCCTAGGTTGGTTGTTGCATTGGTCATCTAAGGAACAGGCAAGATGAAAAGGACATTAGGATTTGCATCCCATGGTTGTGAGCAAATCATCTAGCTCTTTGGGTGGGATTGTAAAACCATCACAGCCTTTGTTTTATAAGAGTTACTGGTATTCCCCTGCAACCCAAATGCTTTGGATTTAGCATTTTCATAAGACCTAGTGTATATACTGCTACAGAGATTTCTGTCATTGAACCCTGTTTCCCTAAAAGAATGATATGATTGACAGGGTGGAAAGATTTTTTACCAGAGGGATCCCATAGTGGGGTTCAGCTATACCTTTATCATGAGCAAAGGACTCTACAACATAGTACTATGCCAGGAGTCATCCTAGAATCAGACACAGCTTTCACCCCAGTCTCTCCTTGTTCTGCAACAAAAGTAACATGCACCAGGTCTAGACCTATGCAGTATGCTTCTTCTAGTATGCCAATAGAGCTAGCCTAGCTGGTGCATAGAGGGGCCCAGAAACACTGGTTCGGCATGCTACACATAGGCACCCATTCTGTGAATACTTGGGGATGGAGCACCCATGGGAGAAAATTAGTGGATGCTGAACACCCACCAGTGCCAAGGTCCTGCCCATCTTACCTGCTGGTGGCTCCAATGATGTACTGAACCCCTGCCATCCTGGAGCTTTCTGAACAAGTACTGAGGAGATGAAGGAGCGGGAAAGGGGTGTGCTCAGGGGAGAAGGTGGGGTGGAAGCAGGGTCAGCGCAGGGGCAGGAAGAGGCAGACTGGAGATAAGGAGTTGGGGGAAAAAGAGTGGGGTAGAGTAGGGGTAGGGCTTGGGGAAAGTGTGGAGTCAGCATGAGGCCTAGGGCAGAGCAGAGGGTCAAGCACCATCCCCCTCCCCACACTACCTACCTCATCCTGTCCTCTCCCACCTCCTTTTGTAAGAGGTTGGCTGTAGGCACCCCAAGGAAGCTGCTCTTTTCCTTA